TATTTCTGTATCTGACCTTTAGGATTTCCTGATATAAATCCACCTTCTGCCTTGGTTGCTGCTGTGCAGTGCACAAGATAGAGTGGAAACATGTTAAAAACTGTTCCATCCTTGCAATGTGTTTACATTGCTAAAAGAAAATGTAATGCTCTTTAGACTGCAAAAATGTATACTAATTTTTTAGCAAGTCAGAGAGACCTGGTAGGATAGTTCCTCAGCTGAACTATGGATTATTTTAAAAATTATATTCACACACTGTATAGTTGTGGGTCTTTTAGGAGGTGTGTACTGGTCAAATAGTATTAATAATTTTTTTCTGATGCTACAGCTCCAGTTCATTCAAATCTGTCAACCCTAATGCTTTGCCTTATTTGTGTATTTTACATCAAAATCTGAAGAAGAATAAACCAGAAAGACAGATTCTGAGTTTTCTAGAAGACGAAGAAATAGTTTCCTCCATCAGTTATTCTTTCCTTCTTTCCCCATAAATCAGACTTTGTTGGAAAGCTTTTCTGAAAAGAATAATTTCAGGACTTTGCGTCTCATCATTCAGACCTTAACCATCAGTGAGAGGGAGGATTATTTCTTTGCTTTAAAATGGAAAAAAATCTCTGAGAATTATTTCCCCTTCATTTCTGTCTCTAAAGTATTGTCTAGAAATAGCTGCATCTACTATTATTACATCATTACATCATTACTATCTAAAAATATAAAATATTTTTAAAAACATCATATCTCCTACAACCTGCAAATTCCAAAAAAGTGAAAATGGATAAGTTTTAGCTGATCTCCTTTATCCTTTTTTGGGATAACCAAAATGACATTGAATATAACATAGATTGTAAATAACTTAATTTGCTCATTAAATTATGTCATTGCATTTTATATATAACATTAAAATTATTATTAGTTAAGCAATTGAGTTAAGAACTTCTAGAATTAATATTGCATATGCATGCCTAATTTTTCTCCATGTCTGTTTGCCTCATGATGGTTTTCAATTATGCAGTCCCATGTTATTTTTGCATGACCCCGTCTCTTAAATGTGCAGGGTGGATGGTGCCTGTTCAAAGCAAATTTATTAATGGGTTAGAAACAAAAAAGGGACTAATACATTGTGGTGCTCAGTGCCCCAACATTTAATAATTTAATGATTTTAATAGTATTTAAAAACTAGCATTATGAATTCTACTTCTGGAGCTGAATGACTAGGTTAGTTTGTGAGAGAGTTAGGCACCTGGAGTAAGGATCCCGAGAACCAGCACTCTGAGTACTGAGATGCTAAATTAATTCATAGAAAGCAACAGAGAGAAATGTTTAGCTGAAAACCTGTTTCCTACACAGTTATGTACATTTAGCTCAGGACTTCATTAAAAAAGGAAGTCAGAGTGAAACCCTGACACTCAGTGTTCAGATCACTTATTTTTAAAAATCCTTCATTACAGCTTACTGAAGTACTTGAGTGCCTAAGAAATTGGAAACTTGAGTTCTTTTTATCCCAAGGAGTTTGAACCTGTGTTTCTAGCATCCTGTAATAATTTTCAAAACAAGCAAATTGGGTACTTTTAAATAGTCAGGTTCATAGATAGCTAGTTTCTGTATCCTAGATAGCTTGGGGGGAAATCAGGCACCTAGGAGTTAGCCTAGGAAAGACAGGGGTGTTGGTAGAAAGCTTTATTCTCGTCATCCTACACCTCCGTAGCTTCTTTGGTGGGTTTGGCAGAGTATTCTGGATCTCTTGTGTAACATAAGCATCAAAATCCTGCCTCAGTGACATTTGCTTTCTTGGGTCTGCCCAGATCTCCTGTGAAATCAGTATTGTGTAGTGCCATGTACTTTATGTTTTCCAAACTTGCATAGGAAAGAGATTATTAATTTTCTAAAGGACTTGCCCATTCCATAGTTGGTAAACTCAAAACCAGTAAAGGTGTTTAGGTACCTCACTGGCTTTGAGAAGTAGCTTTGTATCTGTGTGAACATTGGTGTCTTTTACTTCACAATGAATGTGAAGTATCTCATTATATATACACACATATAACACACAAAGAAGTCCTGTAAATAAACCAGTCGAAATGATCAAAAAAAGCAAGTAGTGTGAGAGGTGAGGGGCCTGGGTTTTCAGAGTAGGTAGCATTTTTCTAGCATTTATCTTCAGAAGAGTGTTCCCATTCACCTCTTGGAATTGTGTACAGTCAGCACTTAGTTTGCAGAAAATGTCAAATATACATATACCAGCTCTTTAGTGTGATAGCGTTCTGACAGAGTCCTTTGGCAGAAAATTCACTTGTGAGGTTCTCTTAAAATTTTACTTGTTTCAATGTTGTTCTTTCATTTGCTTCGTGAAAGATTTCTTAGGATCATGTTTTCTCTTTGTTTTAGTGCTTTACTGAAATGAAAGTGTTTGACACAGCTGTTCTAAGTCTGAAGACGTATAAGTGACCTCTTTAACTCCTCATAAGTATTTCCTTTTCCAGAGTACCAAGTATGTGGACAGGCTGGGTTTAGATTTCATGCACTAGGACATAAGATAATGCAGGCAACAGGCAATACAATAAATTGTACTTTTATAACAGAAACAATATGCAAATCCAGAAAATAAAAAGATAGTACACTCTATGAACATTTTTATTTCCTTATCATCCTGTAATATTCTCACAGATTACATCAAATTAAATCATTGGGATTTCCAGGTTTATTTCCCTGTAGCTATTGACCACTAAAAAAGAACAAATAATTGTTGAATGCTTTTTGAGGTCTGCATAAGTAGTTCTAGTTATGCATTTTTACAAGAAAATGAGACATTCACTTTTACTACAGAGTAGGCTAGAAAGGGAAATAAAATATTTAAATATTTTAGTGAGGATAAGCATCTTTAATGTGTGAAATGATGAAATTGTATGATGCAACAAAACAAATGTAAATTAACTAAACTTGCATGAACTAAGTAAAAGTTTGTATGTGTTTAAATGGGGAATCCTTCTTTATCCTTTAGTTCCCAACTTATTTCTGGAGGTTGCCTCAACTGAGATTTTGTGTTCCCATGAGGTTTTGTTTTACAAGGAGAGTAAAATTATGTATAATGCAGGATCAAGTCTACTTTCAACCTCTGGAGCACAACTGGATACAATTTTTTTTACCTTAATTTTTTTAAGTTGCAACTTTTCTTGCACCCTCCAGATTTACCAGTTTAAGCTAACCTGCTATCGGAACAGGTTTTTCAAAATCAATCCTTACAAAATTTTTCCTCTATTTAACTTAGTCATTTTAGAAACACATGTTTAGCTATACAGGTGCAGTTTCCAGATTAGACAAGAAGTAAGCCTGACACCTATAATTTCTTTATACTGTTTTTTTCCCATCTGAAAATCTCAAAGTTATTTCTTAAATTTGGCCTAGTACAGAAAACTCTGAGCATATGCCTTTTCCTTGTTTGGTGAAGTTCAAGCAGAGGTTAACAATATAATTTAGCCAAACATAAAGGTTAATAAATAACTAACAAAGCATTATTTATTCTTTTCTATTAGAAAGACACCAGTTTGTATAGCTTTAGTTTGAAAATGTTCCCTAAAGGGATCTTTCCCCACTCTTTGTTCTTCTATTTAGTTTCTTTATCTCAGATCATAACTATAATGGAAGACTGCACCAACCTCTGAACATTTAGTGCGAGATAAGATTTAATTCAATCATAAAAAAACTTTCAGGACTCACTAAGCTTTTTTTGCTGCAATTTAAAATATTTATACAGCTATAAACTATGCAATATTATGGTATAACAATTTTATTAGAATAAACAAAGTTTTACTATAAAAATATGTTCTTATTCAGTAATTAATTTTATGCGTTCTTTAGTAAGTTTTCAAAATATTAATTCTATTGCATTTGCCAGGGGATATATAATCACTTACCTAGGTTAACAGATTTTGCTACTTGAAACATGTTCCATTTAAAGTCACTAATAAAAAAAAAAATCTTAATTGCATAAGATTACATATCTAATGCAGCTTCTTTTAGTTTTTCACCATGATTTTTTCCAACATATGATATAAAATCACTTAGCTGCTCAGTTGTGTGGAAGTGGCAGAGAGAGAGGGAGTGTATGGGAATGTGAAAATAGTTGATGTGCATGTTTTCCTTGATGTTTATGTGTATTTTCAAACCTTGAACTTAAAAAAAACTATGTATTTAAAACCATGTCAGGCATCTCAGTGTTTGAATGGAGAAGTATTAGTAAAGAAAATGCCTACATAGTGCATACATAAAGTTGTCTCACTGGCAATTCATATGGTGCCTGTTGCTCTTATTCATCACTACATCAGTGTTTGACAAAGAAGTTGGGGGAGTGGATGAGGCCTTCCTATGCCCTTAGATCTGATCTGTCCTCATAGATCAGATGATATTTTCTTCTTTCTGAAAGATGAGAAGAGGGGCTTTCACAGGGGGGGTTGTTAATCACTGATTATCATAGCTGAGAGAGGTTTTCTGTGTTTGCCATGACAAAGTTTAAATCCTCATCACTCAAGGCACTTTGTATGAAAATAAACATATTAGTTTAAATTATGGAAAAATTCCAGTTTGGGGCAGATCCACTATCAAATCTGCATTTTTATGGATTCTCTTTAATTTTGTAAACTCCCTTACATGTTAGAGTACAAAACCCATCCTGTGCCATAGGGCAATCCAGAAACAGTAGTGTTGTTTAGACAAATCTTGTTCCTCTTTTGATATGTAGAATTGATATAAAACTATAGGATTAAATTTGTTGAACTATGCAGCTCTTTTCTCTGAATTTCATGCCCAAACCACATCATTTTCTTTTGCAATTGAACACAGGTGAATTTTGACTTGATGGAAACATTCATGGTGCTACAACCCCAAGCTGTAAAAACACCAGGCTCAATATTGATTGCATTTTAGCCTAAGCTCTCATTAATGAAAAATTACCATCAGCAAAAAAACATTTCTGATAAATGTAACAGTCTAGTTTTATGCCTGTATTTCAGAATTTTCATCAAGAGGTCAAGAAAACAGATGATTCAGAAAGCTTGTCAAGCCTTGACAGTCTTGAGGCTGGAGAACAAAATAGAAATTACACAACACCAAGTGAATCATCTTTGACTACACAGTGTGACTGTGCCCTGTACAATCCAGAAAAATCACAGACCAGGAATAATGGTTTGCTTTATGCAGCTCAAAGTACTTCTAAAAATATGCATCTAAATAATTGTCTGAGAAATGTAGATTCCCAAAACAACAATAACTTACCTATTCGTGATCTTTTAGCTGAATAATGTTCTGTGACTCCTGCTGAACATGTAAACAATTCAAAAGAAGAATCATCTGTTTCTCACAGATCTGAAAAAAAACCTGCAGAGTTCTCTGCCTCTGGTAAGCAATCTCTAAATAATGCATTTAGTTTTCTGCAAAATATAAAAGAAGAAGGAAGCAAGCCATCTTCTGGAACGGCTAGCACATTAGCCACTGGTCATCCTGTTTTCAATCCTAGCAAAGCCTGGGCCAGCCCTGACTCTATTCCAGGAGAAAGAGTTCAGGATCTGATGCAAGATCAGAGTTTTAAAATGACCCTACAAAAAAGAACAGTATCTGTGCAAACCTCCAGTCAACCTATTGCAACATCTGTAATCTTATTTCCTAATCAGGGATGTTCCACTGGCATTCCCAGCACAGCTGATACATTACCAAAGGACAAAAACATCAGTATGGAGTTTTTAAAAAATACCTCAGGAAAAATGATTGAAACAAAAGAAAATATTAAATGTATTGATGACATTAATCCAGGATCATCTTTATTCCAGGACATACCAAACGCCTCAGTTCTGTGCGATGTTAAGCAACAGAGTAACAAAGAGGAAGAAAAGGGAAATATGGTAGAAACTATGTCACTGGTGTCTGATACGGAGTTAAATTCTGGCACTCCTGCACAACACAAAACCCTGAAAAACAATATTCTTGAAAGAAAAAGAGCACAATTATTCACAAGTATCTTAAAGGAATCTAAATATGAACCCAGTCGTTTCAAAGCTGTGGTTATGAATCACGGGATCAGTTTTGGAACTCGACCTGTGTCTTCTATAAGAGACAGTTTAGAACTGGCAAAAATAAAAAAGAAAATTGCAGAAAATGAAAAATACAATAGAAAGCTAAGATGGTGTGATCAAATTAACCAGATAATAATAGAAAATAATGAAAAATGCTATGAAAAAACCGCCAGTGAAATATCTTCTGAACAGCTGCAATATGTTCAAACTACAAATAATGCTCCTAAGACTAATTTAAGTATTGTTGCTCAACCTTCAAACCCCAAGTTCATGAAAAATCATCAGGAAAACTCTCATATATCAAAACCAAATGTTAATACTGAAGAATCAAATAAAGAATGCCCATCTCTGAATATGTTTATGTCTACTGGATCCTTTTCTGCTAAAAAAGCTTGGATGGTATCAAAAGACAAAGAAAGTAACCCCCCAGTATGTAGTAATAATTCTAAAATTAATGAAGTTAATCAACTCAAAAATAAGGCAAAAATAACTAGAAGACCAAGATCTGTAAGAGCCCAGCCAAGTTTTATGCCCAAGAAGAGAATAGGCACTACAATCCCACCGCAGTCAGCCACTGAAGCCAGCAAAACTCTAAAAGCTCCAGGGAAATTGTTAGCGCCTCACCCACCATCCGCACCTCTGCCGGGAAACAGAAGTGGCAAAAACACAGCCAGCCCTGGGTGTCAGCCACTGCTGCCTTCAAGTCTTCAAGCTACCACTACCAGCGGGAATGATTTAAATGAAAGGCATGTTTTGTTAGCAGATCAGGTTTTAAATAGAAACAGTACAGAAAACAGTGAGAATATTACTTGTTGTTCGAACTTGGCCACTGCGATATCTACACCTGGCTGCAGCACAGCCAAATATGAACCTTGGGCAAAAAATACTTGTTCTGTAAATAGTGTTCAGACAAGCGCCTGTCAAGATTGTTCAGTAACCTGCACTGAAAGAAGACCTGCTAACGCAGAAAATGGATTACATCTCCATCATATTCCAGCAGCTGGAAAAACAAGTACCTCCTGGCAAGGAGTGCATACTGCCCGAGCTCCAAAAGACCCTGCTACTGGTAAGAGTCATGTTTCTGGGTTTGGGGTGGGGGCATGTTCAGAAAAAAGTCTTTTTCAATTACATCACAAATTTGGTTTCAGTTAAACACCCAGCCTTTCATCCATTCATACAATATAGCCAGTTTTAACAAGTTTTCACCATTTGTCACTGTCATTTCTATTCTAGCAGTGCCCAGAGGCCTCTCAAACGTCGATCCCCATTTTTAATAGCTCTCTGCAATAGTAAATGAAAAGGAAGTATTTTCCCTGAGATGATATTCCTGACTAATGAGCAGATGTGACAGGTGGTCTAAATAATGATATAGGAGGAAGTGAGTAAGTTTATATGAGCAAGTTTTACAAGGTAACTGGGAGTCACAGCTTGTTGTCCGTCACTGCCACCTGAGAGTGAAAGAAATGTAGATCTACCATGTTTTTAAATGCTGACACTGTAAATGCCTAAAATTATTAAGTTTTAGTCCCAGTAATACAGTTAATGTTCAGAAAAATTAAATTAAATTTAAAAATAAAGAGCTTCTACCAGACAAATTTTGCTGTGCTGCAGAATATGCCTGATTTATAAAGAATTTTAAGAAATTTTAGGACCAATCCTGCATTTTATTAAAAATTAACCATGGGAACAATATGATGCAGAGGTTGATTGGTAAAATAGAGGAAAGATGCATAAGAAATTTTGGGAGAATAAACTTTAATCTCCTGTTATTTACATTTCAAAATATGTTTCATGTTTTTTGATTTGTCTTGTTTTTCCTCTGCAGCCTAGCTATATTCTGTGCCTTGGGCACTGATGGCATCCTTGTGCTTGTAATTTCTATGTTGTGTGCTGGTTTGCTTCCTATTGAGGGTTGCAGCTGGAGGCAGAGCTCCTGAACCTGTAGACCCTGCTTCAGGTACAAGCAGCACTCCAAACCACTTAACGTACTGGGATCACCCCGAGGATTGGCCATGCCGCTCAAAGATACTTTCTAGCAAAATAAGTAATTCCCATAACTTAAAAAAAACTAATTTTCTAGTTTTATCTACAGTAATACATAGTTTTAACTATGGAGTGATTCAGAACAGCTTTGTTGTGTAAAAGCAGAGGTAGGTGAATATTCTTGGCCTAAAGCAGGGGTGGGAAATGAGAAATGTTATCTGCTTGTCCATTCCAGTTCAAAGTCGAACAGATGAGCTTAAGATATGTGTGACTTCAGTTAACCTATTTGATTTTACATTGGAAATGAATGAAGTCTTGCATTACCATGCCTCGCCTCCAGCAGAGATACTTGCCTCTTGATGTCCTTATTTGCACATCAGATCAATGAATCGGGAAATTTACTGGGTCAAAGTTGTGTGCACTGCTAATACTGTCTTCACTGCAACTTTAAATGCTACATCCCCAGTGTCACATAGCTCCAGCTCCTTTAGAGGAAGAGCTGAGTAACCTCTTTTTAAAATTTGGGTGGGTGGCCCTCTCTCAGTATCTGCTTAGAATTTGTGTTTTGAAAGTCTTCATTTTAAATACTCTAGATAACACTTAATGACTTACTATTATTTGTTCTATTGCCTGCAAATGCACATAGATCACCATAGTCTTTGTCCTGAAGTGCTTGTTATGAGAGACTGAATACTGCATTGTTCTTGAGTAAAATATCTGCTGTGGCACTATTACAGAGTTCAGTGAGGTCTGTGAGGACAGTGTAGAAAATGTGATCTGTTGCAATGGTTGGCCAAATGTACAGAAAGAATAAGTGAGAACAAGATGAATAAAGAAAATTGTTGTCCATGAGGGTCTTCCTTTAATTGGGCTTCCAGGCTTCAAGTGGTACATCTTCTGGCTGACACATATTATACTGTAGCTGGATATTATCATTATTTTAAGTCCTTTGGTGTTCAGTCAGTAAAATGCTGTAAAAATGTGTTTAACATTTAGCCTGTGACAAATACGGGACTAATTCACATGCTTATAGTTAAACAGGGGTAGACTTCTCAGTATCTCATGCCCTTAAAGATACTATTGCTTATTGTATTTTTGTCTTACATTTCTCAAAGGAGTCTTTTCCTAGGCATAGATCTAGCATGTCTTGCAAACTAATTGAGTTGTTGATCTGTATCAATAAAGCAACTTTGGATTTTATTTTTCAGAAAACATTATGTGATTATTAATATAACAAGGCATTTCTTCTTTGCTTATTTTTAAATTTTCCCCCGTATTCAATGGGGGAACATGATCACATTTCCTTTTCTTTTCAGGTGCTATTCAGCACTATGTGTCACATTACAATAATTCACATAAAACTAAACGGCAACCTTTTAAAGCTAATGTGTCCCATGTTACTATTGATGGCAGCATCCAGATGACTAGTTTCAAATCTGCCTCTAGGATCAATGAATTGGAATTCTGCTTTGTTAAATATCACTGTAATAACAACTAAAGAAATAAAACTCTGTTAAAATCACTAAAAGACCTCTTGGTCTAATCATGAACTGTACATTAAACTGCACATGTAAATATTTATTATGTAAATAAATAGGTAATTTATCTTCCCAAGTATAAATCAAGTAACTGCATTTACAAATCAAGTAACTGCATTTACAAATGAGAATATAGTATCTCCTTGGATATGTAGATTCCTGACTTGCACATGAAAATGCTGATTTGCATCTCCAGTTTGTAGGCACGAAAGTGTAATTAAGAACTTAATTTTAATATATTTATTATGTAAATAAATAGGTAATTTATCTTCCCAAGTATAAATCAAGTAACTGCATTTACAAATCAAGTAACTGCATTTACAAATGAGAATATAGTATCTCCTTGGATATGTAGATTCCTGACTTGCACATGAAAATGCTGATTTGCATCTCCAGTTTGTAGGCACGAAAGTGTAATTAAGAACTTAATAATAATTTTGAAACTTGATGCTTTAATTTTGAAAATGTATTATTACACCAGACAAAACTGAGATAAATTTGAAGTACAGTGTCTACGTTAGGCCTCTCTAGCCAAGGGAAAATACTATACAGCAGTACTGTCATTAAAATTAGTATACAGATATATAATTTAGTAAGATTAGCTACAAAATCCCAAGCTGTAGAACTAAGGTTTTAAACCATGACTTTGCATTCGAATCACACCTGTGAGGCCACACCTGGAGTCCTGTGTCCAGTTCTGGGCTCCTCAGTACAAGAGAGACATGGACAGACTGGACACAGCCCAACAAAGGACCACAAAGATGATGAAGGGACTGGAGCATCTCTCCTAGGAGGAAGGGCTGGGAGAGCTGGGACTGTTCAGCCTGGAGAAGAGAAGGCCATGGGGGACCTTATCAACATCTATAAATACCTGGAAGGAAGGTGCAAAGAGGACGGAGCCAGGCTCGTTTCAGCAGTGCCCAGTGACAGGACCAGAGGCAATGGGCACAAACTGAAACACAGGAGGTTCCCTCTGAACATCAGGAAGCACTTTTTTTTACTGTGAGAGTGACTGAGCGCTGGCACAGGTTGCCCAGTGAGGTGGTGGAGTCCCCATCTTTGGAGATACTCGAAAGCCATCTGGACATGGTCCTGGGCAACCAGCTACCTCTACCATTCTGTGATTCTGTGAATCAAATAAACTGTGTGAACTATTACATGTTTTCTGCATGGTGTTACGTAATCTTAACAAATGTTGAATCCACTAAGATATAAGATGAAGCATCTTGGCAACAGGCATTTACTGCGTTGGACAATTAAACTTTAGGATTATTCTCTAAATGCAACTTATTTTCTAAAACACTACTTTTTGGCACATTATTCGGTATTTGTTATATCATAGTTCACTGTCTGTTCATTCTCCCTCTTACTTGGTAAGGCCACCTTGTATCTTTGTACAGACCATCGTTATTATCTGGGATTCAAAGTGGGGCTTCGCTTAACCTGCTTATAAATGTCCACGTACAATCCACATCTGTATCCTATAGTCCTATGCTAACATGAAATTAAATGTGCCTTACAAGTGCCTGTTTCTCTCTTTTCACTGTAAGAAAATACATTTAGCGAGATCAGATGTAAACATGTACACAAGGTAAACATCTAAATTTGGACAGAGACATTTACTCACCATTACTAGTTTTACTACTACTGTCTTTATCATGGTTTTACACATTTTTGGTTTATTTTTGTATGCATGTCATTTAAGGTGTTGTTCCTGTTACAAAAGAAAAGCAGATTTTTGACAACCACAAAAATAAACACAGAGCTTTTTCAGAACACAGAAGACAAAGTGTAGCTTCTAAAAGATGGAAGCCTACTCATTATGCACAGGTAAATATTAAATACTATAAAAAATAAAAAGCTTATTTATCCTCAAAATGGAAAGAGTTTCAGGAACATCAAAGATTTGTTCAGTGTCACACAATTTTGAATCAATGTGCGTAGTCAGCTTGCAGTCACTGCTAATGAAAAGAATAAAACCAACTAGAATACATCACTGTATTAGTATACACTAATATTTTTGCACTTGAAAACATTTAGTAATATGAAATAATAAATAAAAATGTTCAGAAAGTAGTATAGTTACCTTAAATTACACTTAAAATATTCTTATAATATTTTTGATAGAATTCGTTAGGTACTGCCCAGCTGAGTCCTGTTCAATCTGCATTTGATCCAGTACAAAATATGAATAACACCTATAAGTCTGATGAAGGTATAGTAACACATCTCAATCCAATTCTTTGTTATACATAAAGTAGTGACCTAATATATCCACTGTGTAACATCACTTGTGTCTTTTGGCATCAGTGATTTTAAGAAAGAAAGGGTAGTTCGTTGTGTAGACCTAATTTTTTTTTCACAAAAATGTAAGATATAGCATCACATGTCATGATATTGATGGTTTTATAAATGCATTACAACTTATAGTCAAGTTTCATTCCATTCCTGTTTGTATTTAACTGTATGATAGCTGTATGTATCATACATAACTGTAAGATATGGACAGGTATTGCTTGCTATATATTTCCAAAGTCTGTAGAACTTGCTCTGGTGCCAATTGTAAGATGCATTAGTGATCTTAATTATGTCATTTTCTGACGTATTGTGCTTCTTGACTTTGCCACCTTTTTAATGTGAATTTTGTGCGTTTCGCAGACCTATAGTCATGAAAGCAAGCGGTATATTTAAATGTCATGCGCTCTTCTCATTTGAAGCTACCCCTGTAATCTCTTCAGTTTCAGAAAGTACTGTTCAGTTTCTTATGGCAGAAAAACTAGCAAGTACACCAGCTGCAGAAGATGAAATCCTGGCAGCTATGGAAAGTGTGCAACAAGCCAGACAGCCCTGGCTGCTTAACAGGGCTCCGTGTCTCGGCATGAGTGCACTTTCAGTAGAAGAACAGAAGATTTTCCAGTCTCTTGGTCGTCTCAATCAAAGGCTACAAAGTAAGTTTGATAATAAATAGGATCCTACATCAAGTGATTACATAACTTCATATTTTGTTGTCATGGATTAATTTGCATTAAAAACATTAATCCTGTGATAGAAATATGTTTCTTATTTTCTTCTTATTATTCTTTACTAAATGTAGCAAACAGGAGATCAAAATCGTGAAACCTTTCTTAGAGTCAATGAAATGAATTTAAAATAATGGTGACTGCCTTGGTCAAAAAAATTCAAAATACGACTGCAGGACACCTTCAGAACCTGTCTCAGCCCACCTGTAGCTGTTGTTTCTAACAGACGTTTGTCGAAACTGTTTAAAGTGTACAGATACAGATGTATCAGCCTCACTGAGGAACCGGTTCCAATGTTTATCCATCTTTTTTTTTGTAATTATTTTTGCAAATAATTACCCTTTATATTATACACCCTATATTTTTGCAAATATAACCCTTTATAATGAATGGCTTTTCATTTCCTTTCTTCTAGTCTTTTAGGGTGTTCCTCTTCTCCATGAATTCTTAAAGATCACAAATACAGTTCTGAGATTGCTGCAGCCAAATCTGAATGTTTATGTGAATATCACTTGCACAACTATTTTAAAAATCTCAAACTTACCTGAGCATTCTGTAACCTATTCTCTCTCTATGCCAGGCTGATTTCTTACCTGCTTTGTACAGGTGCTTTTATATGAGCTGTCCCATCGCAGCTGACATTTTATTGAAGAATGTGGGGAAAAAGTCTGTACTTGTTCTTGGTAATTTTTTCTCTCCAATGATTAGTTAGCCAACACTTTCATTCGTCATCCTATTATAACTAACATTCGTAGAACAAACTTACTTTTGGGGTCTCTGGCTACTGTATGTAAAGGTTAGTATTTGCTTTGACCTACGTGATCATACAGGTCTTTCATAAAAATTCTCATTAGTTTGACATAGTTTCTGCATTTTGTGTGCTCCATCCTGTATTTGAAATCAATGGGGACCTTGTGCCTTAGTCCACATGGTCTCTTCACTGGACTGCTTGGCTTTCCAAATCATTGGAATAACTTCTGCTTGCCATTTTTGCTGTTTATGGAACTGCCAACTCTTCTGAATTTTATGTTTTCCTTGGACATTTTTGATATAAAATTTTACATGCCAATTATTTGATTTTATAAGTCTGCTTTCTTGAAGTCCATTGATTTTATTTTACTATTCTACTTCTTTTGCTTGTGGACTGCACCATTTCATGGTCAGGTTACCCACGTTTACCTCTCTGTTGACTGGAATTAAACTAAACCAGGACTTGTTAAGCTCCTGCACGCTATCCATACGTGTCTACATCAGGTGGTGGATTGCTTGACTTTGAGGAAAAAGGCTTCAGTTTCCTGTAAACTGCAACAGCAGAATAAAAGATTTTTGCAACCACTTAGAAACTTTCTGCGGCTGTAGCTTACAACTCCTGCTCCCATCAAAGAGTGGTTCAGAATTTCATTATATCGTACCTCATGGTTATTGCTTCCAGGCAAACAGAAGTGAAGAATTCCGTCTTTTGTCAGACAGGACTTTTAGTATGATGTGCTTGGGTTAAGAAAGTACATATGAAAAGAGAAATACAAGAAAACAGAAAATAAATTGCTGTATAAATAACAGAGAAATAACAAAGAAATAGAGGCAAAGGTAAATGCAGCAAAGCAACTGGGAGCAAGAAAGCTGAAGTTTGTAAAGTGTGAAAAGGAAAACTATGAAAACTATAAGAAAAGTACATAAGGAAATTAAACAATGAAAGAATCATAGGAGTTAACTGATTCCAAATGAAGTAACTGCGAGAATTAATGTAATACATACACATATATGTATCTTAGAAATTTAATTAGCTTGCCTAATTATTTGGGGGTTAAAATTGGTAATAAGAAGCTGTGAAATTTTACAGGTAGGCTTATAGGACATGTAAGTACATGTAAGTACGTACGTGTAAGTAAGTAAGTAAAGTGTTGTAAGTACTTACATGTCGTGTAAGTACATTGCTTTTTTAAACCGTGACCTTTTTGAACCCCTTTTTTTGGCTTTGTTTTCACACGTTACCAAATTAAGTGACTAAAACTGTGTACCATCATAGTGGTCTTTTTAATGAATAACAGTTAGTCACTAGCCAATCTAAGTCTGGAATTTTTGTTGCCAGCTTAGAGTAGCTGGCATTCTTTCCTCTAGCTTTAGATTTCTTTATTGACACTAAATTTTTTGTTCAGATAATAATATCTAGCTGCAAATTTTAAAAATACAGATACGGCATATCCTTCAGCAGCTGTTGGTAGGGGAAAAAAGAACAGTGCTACTAAACTACATTTCCACAACCTTTGGGAAGTTTTGTGTTGAATATTTGACTGTGAATCACATTTCTATTGTAGTAGTTGGTTTACATAATTTTTATTATATACTTTTATGCTATTTTTAAGTGTTCAAGAAGCCATTACCAGAAACCCATCTGCTTCAAATGTTTTGCAGATAATCACCCCTTTAGTAAGTATTTAATTTAAATATGTTCAGCCTTAATTCCTACAAACTGACATTATGGCTTATTTTATAGTAAAAATATAATTGAAAATATTGACATAAATCTGTTCAACTGGCTTGCCAGATTTTCAGATTTCTATTTATGTTAAAAAAAATACACATATGAACTTTATAGTACTGTAAACAGCTTTAAAAGTTTATACCAGGCTGCCTCATCCTCTGGCTTCATTTTCCTATTGGAATCTGAAGATACTTGCAAAGTCCAGGAAGTTCCAAGAACTTTTAAGGAATAGTAATTTAGCAGGGTCCATTTGAGCTATATATAGCTCATAACTAATTTGTATTTCTTAATAATGTAGAGAGGAAAGGGGGAATGATGCATAGTAGTGCGTAAAATAATCAGTAATACAATGAATTCTTACTTTGACCTGCAGGTATGACATGCTCTATAAGTGACAGGTATTACCTTTCTTCAAGAAGTGTTTGTATTTTGTTTCATATATTCCAGATCTTGTCAGTTTGAAACAAAATAATCATGATGTATTTCTTAATAATGTAGAGAGGAAAGGGGGAATGATGCATAGTAGTGCGTAAAATAATCAGTAATACAATGAATTCTTACTTTGACCTGCAGGTATGCCATGCTCTATAAGTGACAGGTATTACCTTTCTTCAAGAAGTGTTTGTATTTTGTTTCATATATTCCAGATCTTGTCAGTTTGAAAAAAAATAATCATGATACCTGGAATATAAAGAAGTGAATAGGCAGATGAGTGTCCTAAGTACAAAATTTATGTTTCAAATGTTCAGTTTATAATGCAGGAGTTAATATTTATAATTCTGTATTATCAGTGTCCTCCTTTACTATATATGTACTGAGGAAAAAATATAGACAGATGAGTGTATACTTCACATACTTTCACATACTTCATATGCTTTACTGGATAAACTGTTACCAAAAATGTTAGAGAAAATACGCTTTATTCAGAAGGCTTTTGCCACTTACTGAGTTTGAGACTGAAAAACCCCAGAAAGTATCCAGGCTCCTAAATTCAAAATGATTGCCTGGATTTGAAGTGGGACTGTGAAAAGAACACAGAGCACATCATTACTTCTCTTCTTGTGAATCCTAGTAGTAGGTGTGACTTGGAACCTCAGCTTCCTCTCTTCTGCCTCCTGTCTTACAAATTTAACTGTTTATGGCTAAACAACTTGTAAATTTTGTATTTTTCAGCAATTGGTGTAGCATAGCTACCTTTATTGGATCTAACTGTGTTTTACTAAAGCATTTTTGAGCTTGTATGTTCTCTGGGGCTTTCTTCATAGGCTGTCCTACTTAAAGAAAAAAAAAAAGCTGTTCTCCCCACCAATCCATTTTCCTGGCTTTCAGTAGTCAGACTTCTTGGCTGGCTGGTCTGTGACAAAGCTTTCTCCCACTAATTCTTCATCTACAAGATTTTTGTTTCATGAGTTAGATATAAATACTAGACATTACTCAGGCTGTCCAGTCTCTGGAACTGTAAGTTCTCTGATGGACATTTAAGACCCTTCTTTCCCTACAAGTATATACTTAAGCATTTAAGCAGGTGCCCAGCTGTAGATATACATTCAGATCTCAGGCACTGGCTTGGAATTCTTCTTGATGATAAGAGTGAAAAACTGCCATACAAGTTCCCAGCTGCAGAAAAAGTATAGATGACTGAGATTTCATCAAATCTTCTGCTATGAGAAGTGATGGGATTTTAAATTTTTGCTTCACCAAGAGAACAACCTGCTTCAGCTCTCCTAGTTTCAGAGCGTCCAAATAAAGTATGGATATTCACTCAGTAATTCATGTGAATGACACTGTACCCTGTAATACCAACCTCTAAATCCAGATGAAGGTTCACAGTTGTTTATATAATGGAAAACAGATAACATATCATCATCAGATTATGTTTCTTGAATGTTATATTATACATAATCACATTTCTGTTTATATGCATGTATATCTCATTATTCTCCATTTTATTATAGAGTATTCAGCAATGTATATCCTTCCCTTTGGTGAACACTACAATAGCCTCACAGCAGTACCAGAATACCTCAGCTAGCAATCGATTGCAATTGTACCGGAGATACTGACATTATCTGCTCCAGGACATTGCAGCTTTATGTACTTCATATGTAATGTATACACTATTTGACACTACAAAATTAGCAACAAAATAAAGATGATAAATTAGCAACAAAATACTGATGAAAGCAGTAACTCAAATAATGAATGTCAATTGACTGGTAAGCATTTTTAGGATAATTAATTCTATTTTATTATGCACTTTATTGTAAAATTAAAAGAATGAAAATACTTCACATTTTTAGTGTGTGTTGGTTGTGTAAATTTCCTGTACCCCATAATTCAAGTGAAAGGAAAACAAATATTTTGCTACTTAGATTATGTGTAAACTACCTTCCTAACTTCTCATGTTTTTTAAGATTCACTAATAGATTCTATTACAACTGTAAAAGGTGTATTGTAAAAGTGATTTGATTATAAGTAAATAACACATGGAGTTTCACCTTTTATCTTTATATTGGTGGCTGTATTGCAAATTACTGCAGACCGTGTTTTGCCCTTATTCAGTTGCTACATCTGGTGACTCTAAAACTGACTGTGCTCCCAACGTCATACTTCTCCTAGCGTATGCTCCTGCAGTTCTTGTTGAAAATGTTGGAGATTCCTGTTCCAGATTTTCCCAACAACATTTATCAACACTTGCACTTAAAGAGGAATTCTTCCTCAGCTCCTCATGTAAAGAACCCCAGGCTGAAATTGTCAGGGAATTAGAAAGAAAGGTGCATCGGAAGGAAACGTACAACTAATGGTATGTAGATGCACTTTCACTGAAGCACATAGAGAAACCTCTCTACATCAATGTCAGCTTTAGGCTAAAACAATTATTCTAGAAACACAAAACCATAAGCGCCCAGCTAGCTCATCCGCAAAAGCTGGTTTCTGGTTTTCCTGATTGGCTTTACCTTTGTAATCTGTATTACACAATCTCTATGTAATGAGAGTTACAAGGAAGCAAAGTGGGGACAACAGGCCTGGAGATGAGGACTCCATTCCTGTGTTTAAGAGACCCAGATGGAGCCAAGTATTAATATGTTCTGCATAAGGGCGTATGTAGTCTAAGAACATGTCTGAGAGTCCTTCTGCAGAGCTAGATGCACTTGCAGTTGTCTTCGCAAGCGGTTATTTTGGAGGGACAGATTGGTTTTGGCAGTCTTGGATTGGCAGATTATACATTGATCCCTTGACTTTGAATTCGTCTGTAGCATGACGATTAACATGTCAACAGATTTGACATGTTTGGTGATAAACCTGTCTGCATTGTTATGTCAGTTCTAGATTAAAAGCCTTTTATTAGTTAATTAGCTTAAATTAATTACCTAAATCTGTGAAGTTAGTTAATTGCTAAGGAGCAATAACTTTTAAACTTCCTCTCTTCTGCTCTTCCTCTGCTGTTTCTGTACAAAGTAGATAAACATTACAACAAGCTGTAGAAGGTATATACAATGCACAGAACTGATCAAATCTAAGCTGGTAATTAGCTGCAAGAAGCAATAAAAGCAACTTACTAAATCTCTGGATTTTTAACTCCGTATTAGATGCCTGATTTTCCCTTTGTATCTATACAGTAAGAATTGTGGCGTTAGTCCAGGGGCTTAAGCACTAACATATATCCGCCAGAGATGTGCCTGAACCCCACACAGTGTCATTGCTAGCCTTTGTTAAAGTGTGTGGGAGCTTAGGAGAGTTGCGGTTCAGGAGTGGGCTCAGTGCCGTACCAGTGCAACCCTGGGAACATGCCCTCAGAAGGACACTGGCATTTCTCTGAATGGAATGGATCTTCCCAAAAGAAGCCATCAAATTATTATTTTGCAAAATTATTCTTAAAACACTGTTATTCCGCATCATAGCAAGATCATCATACCATTATCTGTAATAATTGCTTAGGAGGGAACCAGCCTGTAAACAGGAGAGAAGAGGAAAAGGTGCCCATCATAACAATGGACAACTTATCAGGGGATCCGAGCTACCTGCTGGTGCGTGGTGTCAGCCAAGACTAAGGCGAGCTTACTTATGTAGCAAATAGTTAGCAGATGAAACTTTACAAAGCAGGTTTAGGGAAAGACTGATTTTTTCAAAACAATGTTTTGAAGAATGGAATAATGATACCTTTCTCCTCTAGCTAGGCATTGCAACACCTTTGGAGGAAAAATCTGATAGCCTCGAAGGGGCTGACTTCAGTCTGGAGCCTGTTAGGATAAACTGTATTTAAACATCAAAATTGCAGAAACTTGGTGTCTTATGATCACTGTTGCAGTCTGTCCTGACACTGCTGCCAGAAAAGGGAAACTATAGCTGCAGTCCACATGCCTGAAGGATTCTGATGTGTGTCAGTACTTATTGGGTCTTTGGTGCTCAAATACATGTAAAATTCCCAGCAAAAGACCTGTGTGTATTCTCAGAGCAAACGAACAAAGGCCTTCTGAGTTGGAACTCAAAATTGGTTTGCACTGAAAATACTGAGCCCTTACATCTCTGTTTGTATGCAGTACACCGCGACATTCCAGTACGGCGAGGATTTAATATTTAAATATCGAGGGAAAGTTTCCCCACAGAGATTAAGAGAGGGGAGAGCAAATAATCCAAATACCAGAGGCCATGGATCAAAAACAACCCTGCTAGTCAGCAAGCCAGAGCACCAGCTTAACCAGGTTTCTTCTCCTGTTAATCGGTTTAGGTGGCAAAAGCACGGCCCATGAGTCAGCTTCCTCTCTTAATTACACGGAGAGATTTTTTTTTCAAAAACAGGTGCCTGCATTTAAGTTTCTAGGAAAATATTTTCAAATTAGTTATTTGATTTAGGGTTACAGGCTTCAACTCAAAGATAATAACCTTGTTTCCTAGACCACTTTGGCCCTTTTGACAATACTAAAGTATGGTTTTTGTTTAGGTGTCTAAACAGCGTGACTCTCAGACATCAGGAATGTGCACTACAAGTGGACCCAGAGGCAGCTGCTGGATTCTGAGCACTTGTGAAGAGCCAACAAGTTCTTTTGTTCCCATTAGCTGATGGTTATTCTTCAGATTGATGTTTCCAGGCTTTTCTAGTCATCACACAGAAATTAAAACAAAAAAAAAAGGCTTAAATTTTAAGGCTTAATTTTATTTTTCAAGTATGAAGAAAAGTAACTATGTTAAAACCAAGAAGCTTGGTTTAGACATGAATGTATTAAAATTCGGGTACCTTAGATTTCTTTCCAAAACTCTTCACTCTGCTACCGTTTTTGCTGCATTTTAAAGAAATTAGTCCATAGTCTTTCTACAATAAAATTTTAGTATGAAAAGAAAACATGAAAACCAGGTTAAAGTTATGGTTTCCAATACAAGCCTAAATTAAAACAAAAACCCAAACAGAACACAAACCTTCTTTAAACATGCACCTATGTGCCTGAATTTCAACTTGATTCAACACCCTGAGGGGTGGTTTCAGGTGCAACTGCACCTCAGTGCTTTTACAGAGAATGACGTGCAAATGGTCCCAAAAAATAGCCACGTGTCCTCAGTACATATCCTTTCCCATGTGATGAAGTATACTTTAAGGAAAAGGCTAAAGACCAACTGGTCACATGAAGTCATACAGGGGAGCCAGAGCACAAAATTAAATTTTCATTGATAAGACTAAACCTTCACATTTCACAAAAAGCAAACATGTCCCTCTTCCTGGAAATAAATTTGCTGCTTTAAACTCAGCTTCCCTCTTAGTCTAATTTGCTCCTTGAACCGCCACAACACTCTGAGTAAATTGGCCCATCTATAAATCATGGATTTATAAGACAAATTAATTTCTTTATAACATTTTGCTTACATTACTGTGGCATAATATTTTATTTATATTACTGCAATGCCCAGGCAAACCTGATTGTGATGAACACTCTACAAATCAGAGGTCTGCAAACAAGCTGAAGGCTCCAGGGTCAAATGAAGGCAAGATTTCAGCACGAGATGGCAGCTCCACAACCCCTCTGTGGCTGTATGGGGGGTGTAACGATGTAGACACAGCATTGTCTTCAGCCCATCAGCTAATACAAGGCAGCAGCCAGGGAGAATGTCCCAAATCCCACTCTCCATCATTTATCAGCGGTCCTGGTTAACGGGGGAGGTCCCGGACGACTGGAGGCTTGCCAATGTGACACCCATCCACAAGAAGGGCCGGAAGGAGGATCCGGGGAACTACAGGCCTGTCAGCCTGACCTCGGTGCCGGGGAAGATGATGGAGCGGTTCATCTTGAGGGCGCTCACAAGGCATGAGCGGGACAACCAGGGGATCCGGCCCAGCCAGCACGGGTTCATGAGAGGCAGGTCCTGCTTGACCAACCTGATCTCCTTCTATGACCAGGTGACCCGCCTAGTGGATGAGGGAAAGACTGTGGATGTGGTCTACCTGGACTTCAATAAAGCCTTTGACACTGTCTCCCACAGCATTCTCCTAGAGAAGCTGGAGGCTCACGGCTTAGACA